TAATAATAATAATAATATATATATACATATATATTAAAGTATATATTGAGTAATAATAAATCCTGGTGAAATTTTTTTCAGAACACTTTTCAGAATTTTTAAATAATTTTATCTTTCGAAAAATTTCTCACATCCTTTATACAAATTCAAACTTTTCAAATATTTCGAGAAAGCCTACACATTTTCCAAAATTTTTCATATTTTGAATTCTGAAATATTCTAAAATTTTTCATTTTAAACTATTTGATAAAATCTTACAAAATCTGAAAAAGTATTAAGATATTTAAGATTTTTTTTCAGAAATTATATAAACTACTCACATTTTTTACAATGTCTACAACAGATTCAATTGCCGAGTCCATATCTTTGAAGATTTCATTATTTCTCATGTTTTCACAGATAATCAGAAAAACATGAGTAGCTTCCTCGGCACAATTTAAATAATCTCCAATATAGTAAAGAGCAACATATGCATAAGCATATATCACATTTGTCATATTAAAGAATACAAAAGGAGATGCTTTCTAAAAAAAAAAGAAATAAATAAAATTAATAAAATCATATATTTTAACTATGAATATTAACTATGAATATTAACTATGAATATTGATTTTATTATTACCAACCTGCAATTCGTTAAATAATGGTACATCTATCAAATCAGGATATTTTAAATCGCTATAAGCATCCTTAATGTCCTCTTCAATTGGCTGAATTAATTTTTTTTCTACATGACAAGTCCACCATGGCACCCATTTAGGCAACAGCTTTTCTGCTTCTCCATTTTTTATCAGTGCTTCAAATTCTTGCCTCTCTGCTTCAGATAAAACTGACCAGAGCTCATTAGGATTTTCCAAATTAACATTCTGCAATCTGGTTTCCAAATCAAGAACCTGAAAGATACATTTGTAAGAATGAGCATTCATCAAATCATAAGAATGATTTTTATTACTTCTTGTTCGTCATCTGAATCCAATGGATAATCCTCTCCATTGATGCTTCCCTCATCTGAATTATTTTCCAAGATATCATTTTCCATGTCAGCATCATGTATTCTCTTAAGGATTTCCATCATTTTTTGTCTAGCAATTGGATCATTCTCTTGAGACTTTAACTCATCTTCAATGCACTGCCTATAAAAGCTCTCAGAGCAATCCGTATGCATATCTGACTTATAACATTCAGCTCCGCAATAGCCTACACCACATCGTGGACAAGTATACAAGCGTTTGTGTTTGCTGCATCTAATACGAGAAAAAAAATTCATGTTGACGCAATACAAATAAAAGCGTTTACAATATTTGGTTTTCATAAGATCTTAGATTTAATGTAATTTAGCAATTTTGTATATTTTTATAAAATACTACAATTTAATATATAATATAAAACGCTGAACTTACAATTCGCAAATAGTAGTAGTCGAACTTGTGCCAGGAGTCTCCATCATTTCAAGTCTTGGGAACTTTTGAAATTGATTCAATCAACTGACTTTTCTCTCTTTGAGGTTACATGCTCGAATTCTTGATATTATGTATATTTTCAAATTATTTTGCCAGCTCCTTGATGTAATTAAATTCTGATCTTCTCCCAGTGATTTTCATTGATTAGTTCGAAATCTTATAATCGTATACATTATAATATACAATCTCTAGAACACATAAAAATAATGTAGAAAAGATTAATATTGCCTCAAACAGCGTCCTATTTTACCAATAACGCGCTATTTTACCGACTGATTCAAAGACGCAGTTCTTCGTTATGTAACAAGATGTCAGCTCATATATTATTTTCTGTTTTTAAATTCCTCCCTTTTCACTTTCTCTGATAAAAGACTTGACAAAAGCTGATGAAAGACTTCCTGCACAAAGCCATTCTTTACTTTTTGAATCAAAAAGATTCTTTCTTATTTAGAGTCTGTGGAAATCGTTAATTAAGACGAAGAAAAGGAATTTGTATAAATCACCAGATAGATATGTGTGAGTCAAGAAGATTCACGGTTAGGAAACTTCTACAAGGTATGTAACTTGCTTTAAAATTCGTTTATTCTTCTTATAGAGCCGAACTTTTCGGACTTTTTATTTTTCCTCTTTTTCTCGTGAATATCTAATTGATCTAATTATATACCGTCTCGCTTTAAATAAAAATGTATGCATTATAGCACAAACAAAGGACAGACTCTATATGTTGACCGTTTTCAGGCCTATATATAGAATTTGCATAAAGAAAATACAACATTCAATTCGATTTATCGTGTACTTTGGACTTAGCAGCTGAACAGTAGCAGCTAATCACACAAAAAGGAATTAACAGAGAGAATTGCAATCATGTGTTCCACTGGTAACAATCGGTGCATTATACTTTCGGTTTTTCCACACTTTTCTTTCCTTTTTCTCTTTATCCCGCAGTTTAAGGTATGCGATTTGACTACTGACGTATATGCATCAATATGCACGATAAGAGCCAGGCATTGCCGCATCGCATTATCGTTTTTAACCCCACTAGCTCTTACGTCTTTCGATTGGTGCTCATGGAGCTATGACAAAAACAAGCGTGTTGGCGTTGTGTAGTGTCTCGTATCAAGCAGGCGCCAAGCAGAATGGAGCCAAGCTGAATTGTGAGCGGATACATCATTTCAAGCGGATCGAGCAAACCGGAGTTACACCTTTCGGAGTGATTTCTGAACTTTTTTAGAATTCTTGAAGCCGAGCGGTCTCGCACTTAATCTTGTCATATCCTTTCTTTTCTACAACACCTTAATTGCTAAAATATATCTACATATAAGTGAAAATATTTTTGCGAGTAGAATTTATTCGTCGCCGCGTATTGAGTTCCACGTCGACGGTGTGACTGGAAATACCTGGTAACATAACGCGATTCTGTAGCGACCTTTCCTGAATAGTCTCCGATCCCTTCGATTTGTTTTGTTGACAACAACCGCTCATGTCACGAGGAAATTGGATCGGGACGTGATAATCACACACGTACTTATTATCTTATCCGTCTCGTGATTATAGCTAGCTCATAATCGCGCCGGTAGTAAAATAATAGCGCTAGGTGTGTGCCACATCGTCAGAGGCTCATCATCGACTCTTCTATTATTTTCCGTCTTTATCTTGCTTTTTCTTTTTCTAAAACGGTGAGCTAGTCGCTGTATTCTATTCGCAGTGTATCCGACGAGATTTCGACATGGGTATCGAAGACATCGAGTACAAGGTAATCTTACTTAATATTTTTCATTTCTCGAAATATTTTCCGTCGC